CCCCCCTCTATCTTCACTCACTTGCCAACCTTCCAACCTTCATTGGTATGAGCTTTTTGTGATTTTTTTTGTGAAGTATCAATTTATATCTCTAAGAATTACATGTATTTGTATTCTTTTTAAGAAAAGGTTTAGCTGTCCCTTCTTGGCAGACCCTCATTTGTCCTCAGTGTCATGCTATCAGCATATATATATTATATATTATATATATATACACGCATATTTACATATAGGCTACTTTGAAGTACTCAACTAGGATTTGTCCTCAGTGTCCAGACATTGTGGTCGGGAGCGAGATGTGAAGACCTAGTAGATTTTCCTTGATTAGCTCGTTCACATTTGTCAAGTCCTCGTCTTTTACACCCATGTCTCAGTTCTCCGTCACGGCTACCGTTTCGTCTGTGTGTGGGTCCCATGTCTCGGTTCTCCGTCACGGCTACCATCTCGTCTGTGTGTGGGTCCCATGTCTCGGTTCTCCGTCACGGCTACCATCTCGTCTGTGTGTGGGTCCCATGTCTTGGTTCTCCGTCACGGCTACCGTCTCGTCTGTGTGGAGATGCAGGTTGTGTTGTGTTGTCTACCATACGTACCCAGCAACACTTTTATTTTCGTTTACCTCACGTTTCTATTTTTGCTGCTTTTTAATAAAGTAGGGCTGTGCTTGATAGCCGAGTTCAGTTGAGTTTCTGAATGTTTTGTTGTTTTTGTCGGTTGAAGAAGATTGGAATGTCCCTCGCGGGTTGGGGGACTATAAATAGACCCACGGCCCGTCTGCAGGAAGAAGAACCCCTCCAGTGACAAAGTGTCGCACACTGACCCCAACCCTCTGGGATCCGGATGCGACACCGACTTTGGTGCATCTTCCTTTTCACCTTCCTTCTTTCTTTCTTTTTCTATCTTTTCCCCCACCGCTGACCTCATGTGCAGCAAAAAGAGAGGTCACCCATCCCACAGAGTGGGCGCCTCGTTGAACGTGAGGTGCGACCCGTGCGGAGGGAAACCGGGTACCTGGCGGATGAGGTAAGATCAGTCCACGGACTGTCCCTCGCCAACACACCTCTTTGGCCCAGGTTTTCCTCTTAGATGGGAGGGTGGCACGGCCCATGCCACTCAATCGGTTGAGAGCTGAAACTCCTTCAAGCCCTGGGTCAATCTTGACGGGAGGGTCTTGCACACAGACTGTTTTTAAAAATAGAGTTTAAAAAAACTCCACCTCCAGTGTGTGGGAGAAACCGAAACAACAAACTTCACAACATCCTGTCCAAACTGGGTCCACGGAAACCATCAGGCCTCTTCGGGAGAGATGAAGTCATTTTTACTCGATTACGCATCGGACACACGGCCCTGACACCTAAATACCTCCTTCAGGGAGATGAAAAACCGTTGGATGCGACACAAATTTCTGCATTAGACACACATGTAATATATTACACAGAATGTCCAGAATTCAGAGAGACACGAGGAAAGTATTTTAGTCAAACACAGGACACTTGAACTTGTTGGCGATTGGAGATACTCAAATAGTGTTCGAGATTTCCGTAATTCGTCCTGTCCGTGAAAGCCACAACAAATACAAAGAAATAGAGACAGAAAATCGAGGGAGGTAAAAAAGAACATTACAACAATGAAGGTGGTTTATTTATAGCTGTGGTCCGGGCGTGGAACGTCTGCACAAGCACGGCACGGTTATCTTTCTCCCCCGACTGCCCACCAATATACTTCATGTAAAATGTAGAACAAAAATAAGGTAATTTTGACACAGATCTCTACAGTACATAATGAATTGGGCTCTGAACCGTGGAATCAAACTTTGCCGTATGCTGGGCTCTACACAACAACATAACTTGTTTGGCAAACAATAGGTCAATAGATGCTAGAAGACACGGGCGTGTATTTGAACAAATCTGTCCTGTTGCACAGTGTGTGCTTGGTAGAGTTCAGTGTATCGTCCTGGAATTTTCCAGCAATTTTTCCATATATATTAAAAAAACCCGGAAATGCCTTTAATTTGAAACCAAACTGAGTGGGTGGTTAGAGGGTGTCACTGGTAGGTTTTACTCAAACAAGCAAACGAAATTGCTTTTGATTGAGAAAGTCGAACCCGTTATACTTTACTTGCTCGGTGCCTGTAAATTACAGTGTAATTGTCTACACAAAATTCTCCTATTCTGTCGGCCTATTCTTACATTTCGGCATACACGTAGGTCTAAAAAGTTGGATGACCAACGGAATGTAGAAACCCCTCCGTAAAGGTCACCAAATCTAAGGTTTAGACACGTTTTCTCTGATGTTAGCCTGAAGCTGGACAATAAACATAAATATTCACATGTATAAATAAAAGGGGATCGACAGTAAACACCTTTAAAATGAAGACGTTGACCAATTTTCTACAACACAACTTTTAAACGTACGCCTTAGAAGAAACATGGTCCAACAGACAGGTTAGTTCTTTATCTGACTCTATGTCTTGACAGTTGCGTAATGTAGTGGCGAAGCGTCTATATATAAATTAATAATCACTGCTTCCCTTCCTAATTTTGAAGCATTATTACAGTCAAATTCACCCTTAAACGTAAACATCATAAATTAAATTTAAAAAGACGTTCATAATCACCAATAAACAGTTTCATTGCCACAGAAATAGCCTGTTCACCCCCTTTCGGACCAGCCCATAAGCAGTCGCAAGCTTTGATTAAGTAAGTTTAAAGAGAGGCTGGAAGATTCTACCAAAGGAATTGAAGGGAACCCTGAAAACTGTTTCATTGCCGCAATTTATACCCTGTTCACTCTTTTGGGCCACTGTCATAAGCAGTCTCAAGCACTGATTATGTAAGCTAACTATTACACTGGTCGAGTCTACCTCACAAATGTAAGGGGAACTAACTCCTATTAATATCTTGACTGCTGCGAGTGCTTGGTTGTTTTTTTTCTCGACTTTTTACCGTCCTATCCTATAATCAGATCGTGACCTCGATTATGACACCGACTCCTGGCCGCGAAAAGCTAGACAAAAACTGCCGAAATAAAAAAAATTGATAATTGTCATGTTTTACCAGAGTCTCTGGTATTGCATGTAATACGAACTTCTCTGCTTCTTTGCTTTGTGTTTGTGTATTCACATCTAAAGATAAATTTAATGTTTGCTGGAATAAATAATTTAACCGGTAATGAAATCTATAGACCTACAAGCGTACACAGAAGTGACGGCACAGTGGTTTGTTGTCTCGAAATGAACATTTCGTCAGCTGAGTTATGGTCAATCATATATTTGAGTCATTCTTTGTATGCACCCAAAGACCGATTTTTTAATACAGGGCCCAAATAGAATATATTTTATTGTTAAACAAAAAAAACAAGTAACAAACAAACGAACAAACAAATAAAAGTTTGGTCGCTGGCACAGAATTCTACACTTAGTGTAGAATTCTGTGGTCGCTGGTCTGCAGGAGTGCCGTGCAAAGTTTCGTGGGCCAACGTAGATTACGGGGCATAGATCTAAATGATCCAGAATGTTTTTAGCAAACAAGCTGTAGATCTAACATACTCTATGCAACAATGGACGATCTATCGTTAACGACATGTAGATCTACTAAATACAACATTTGGTTTCGTGTGGACCATCTGGAGATGGACTGGCGACCAGATCAAGAAGTAAAGCCAAAGATAGTGGAGAATCTTTGGTAAAGCCAAAGACCGTGTATGGTCTTTAAGCCAAAGACCGTGTATGGTCTTTGGTAAAGCATCGCCAGAATATGTCGGTGTGAAGGTGAAGGCTTGCGTGTGACCAAGGCCCAAATAATCAGACGGTTTTATCACGAGGGTGATAAAATCACAGCCCTCTTTGATCCTCCACACTTAACTAAGAACTAGAAACAATTAATTTTGTTGATCCAACACAATATCCGTGGGCCTACTCATCATGATGATACTGTGAGCAGGGCAGTTATTGAACATTTCTATGAAAAAAGCAGTGCCTTAGGTTTATTCAGGGTGGCACCCAAGTTAACCAACTGTGCGTCAAGTTTTGGACGACAGAGGGTTTGTTTGGCTGTGCACGTGCTTAGTCGCAGTGTATCGCAAGCAATTAAATTGGGACACTATATAATATGTATCTCGGAATTAATCCTTTCTCTGACATCGTGTATCTGAAATTTCTGTAATGACTTTGATGATCTTTTCAACGTTTTCATTTGGTCACTCGTGTCATTCTCTGTCGAATATCGTCACCCAGTCACAACTACGTCACAGCACCATGAATTTTTGCAGCAGACACTTCTGTGGTTGAAAGAGAATTCCTGAAGTTTGGCCCAGAAAACAAAAAGAAAGTTACAAAAGCATTAATATGAGTCAGTGAGTAGATCCACAACATCACTGCTTTGCAAGGTCGTATGGTAGACATTGTGAGCTGCTATGCGAGATTACTTACAGTGATATCAAGATGAACTTGAACATCTGTTCTCAGTCACCCTGAGAGGAAAAGGTGGACATATCTTGACAATCCAGATCCCCCCCCCCCCTCCTCCTCCTCCTCCCAACAGTTACATTTTCGTTTGAAGAGACAGATAATGGTCGACAAAATAATGATTGCATTGCCTTCAAGCAGTTGCAAGGATGTAGTGGATAGCTTTTTGATAAATCTAACGAGTAAGGATTTCAGTCAAACAATAGTAGTTGCTATTCCGATGGACCTTGATAAAGAACACAGACACATGATTAATTTAGTTAAATTTTGCAATACAATAAAGATGAGAAAAAAATGCACTTAAAATGAAATTTCTGACGTAAGTGGATACACTTTGAAGAAACTTTACTATGTAGATCTAGTCTGCAAGGACTGTACAGGGATAGTAGAGGATTCCTCATCTTCCCATGCATGGCACCTGACCCTCATCAGCCAGAAACAGTTTAGTTGGAACATTGTCGTCACGGAGGTTAGAAAAAAACAGTTTTAAACTTGTGGAATTCGTTGGTTTGTTTGAAACTGCTTTTTTATTTTACGCGTTTTAAAACTTTGATGATCAGAGTGCACAGTAGACAGAATCTAAAGTTGAAAATGCTCCAGGATCCAAACGTACTTGAAAACAAAGGTGATTCCTGCCAGGGCCGTCGAGAGCCTGGTCGGGCCCTGGGGCAGCAATCACCTTCGGGCCCCTCCTCCCCCCCTGCCCCACCCGCCCTTACCAGCAATTTATTAACCCAACAAATACAGTGTACATAGGCATATTATATAATTCCTTTACTGTAGCATATCTGTTACATACCAACATACGCTCTCTCTCTCTCTCTCTCTCTCTCTCTCTCTCTCTCTCTCTCTCTTACACACACATATCTTCATTATCCTTGGAAATGCATTTTGCGAAAGAGATGTTTGTATAAAAGCTAATCCCCCCGCACACACCCCAGCCTCCTTTGTCTCGCCCCCCTCCATCAAGTGCTGGGGGTTGTCAACTTAAAATTAATTTTAATTTTTCTGATTTACCGGATAGTTTAAAATGAAGGTAAGATGAATAAACCAATGACAGAAATTAAAATAGATTGGAATGTAGCATACCTTTTTTTCTTACAATAACGGAGCCTTACAGGATTTAGCTCTAGCAAAACTGTCAATTATCGGTTCGTAGTCCAATTCTCGAGCTAGACTGGCCTCTATGGCCAAAATTCCAAGACTTGTGAGTCTGTCTTGACGCATTGAGGTCCGCAAAATGTTTTTCACCCGAGAAAGAGTACTGAAGGAACGTTCAGCTTGCGCAACTGTGACAGGCAAGGTGCTGAAGATTCTCAACAAGATTACAACATTTGGAAACAAAGCATCCAGTTTCAGGGAATGAAGTCTGCTCAGCAACTGAAGATGCGGCAGGACATCTTCTCCAATGTTCGCTGACTGAATCACTTTCAAATGTTCCAACTCTTGCGCAAGGTCGGCTGATGCATCTACTGCATATTCCGTGTGCAATTTGTTTGCAAGATCACGAATAACGCCGGTTTCCTATTGGAGATATTTCCATAAAACAGTAAATAACGAATCGAGTTTTGTCACTGCATTATGCTTTGTTGTCAAATTTCCAAGAAGGCAGTCAATGGGGACATAAGAAACTTCATGTTTGAATTTGTTCTCGGGATTTTGGCAGTCTGTTACATCTTCTGTCTCTTCTACAAAAAGCTTCCTTTTCTTTTGTCGTTTTGTTGTTTCGGCAAATGAATGCTCAATCTCATAGTCATCTGCTACTAATTGGGACTCACTCAAGATTGCGTCTCATTCATCTCGTAAGCTTTTCAGATCTTTAATTCAGACTTGATATTTGCCACCTCAACGTCAAGAGTCGCATCTCGTTCTTGCAGCACTCTCTTTCTGCGATCGATTGCTGTGAGAATTTTGAGCCAAACGAGTGCCATTATCACACTTTCAAATGATGCAAGTAAAGTACTTAAGAATACCTATCAAATCTGAACGTGTTTCTGGAGGGAGGTTCATTTGACGAACAGTTTGAACAGCTTTCCTCAGTCCGTAGGGCTGTACTATCTTTGGTATAAGTATAAGAACGTAAATAGGTAAGCTGGCCTATAGGAAAATCAGTCGCTTGGTGATTTGGTTCATTTTGAGTAAATCCGCTATAAAGGTCAAAATGCGTCATCTGATGAAAAATGAGTTCTTGATTGGAACTTCTAGTTTAACCATTTTTATAACATTTTCAAGACTTGTTGGCGTTTAATAACGCCCAAAAGTATTTTGAAATAATTTTTAAAAAGACATGGGTGTTCACAATCACTCACAATTATGTGAACTATTTGCGTTCTTGATTAGGACTTTTTTAAACCCATAAGGAGGCCAGGAAACACCCCCAAATTCTCAAAGGGGTTTCCTCTGGAATTTCGTGCGCATTAATACAAGGAACACTGACCTGACTAAACAATCTGCACATCAGGACCCTGTTGTGAAAGCCAATACAAGCCAGTCGTTGTTCACTTGTGCTACTTTTTTTGCTTTTATCTTTTATTCGTGTGGTTCCAGTGTCGTGAAATGTGGTGAAAATTAAAGGATACTGTTTATTTGTGTCATTTCAACAGTTGAAATCTAAATTTCGAGGCTGGTCTAGTGTATTTTTTACTTTTTGCTGGACACAGTCCGGTCTTGTTTACATTACCAACAGCTTTCAAAATGGCTGCCAGCAGAGCGAAAGAGAAAGAAATCGCAGATATTGAACAACCTCGGACCGATGAACTTGTCTCTCGTTGCCCTAAATAGAGATTTAACCAGCGTTGTTGAGGATTATTTTATTTTTAGAGATATTGACAGTGATATTGAAGGCTCAGAGAGTGAAGGAGAAGAGGTCAGTTTGCCACTACCCCTGCGGCCACGCCCACCTTCGTCTACTACAAGATCTACTACGCGTAGGGAGGAAATTCCAACTCCTCATTCCCCTGGTGAGTTGTAATCCAAAGTCAACTGAATTCTCGTATCTTCCTCCTCAAGCTTTTAGGAATAATATGCAATTATAGTGTGGCAAAATTGCTGTTCTTCTCCCTGTCACAACTAGATCTATCTTAGATCTTGAACTAGAATCTACTAGAACTAGACTTTAGAACTAGATCTGGAAGATCCTAGACATCTACTTTTATGTAGATCAAGAGATCTAGAACTAGATCATGTCAATATTTATAATTTGTGTAGGCTATAGGAGGCTAGGTCTACCAAGTGAGAAGTAGACTGCTCACATAGGCCCACACGCACACACACACACACACACACATACACACAAACACACACACACACGAGAGAGGGAGAGAGAGAGAGAGAGAGAGAGAGAGACAGAGAGAGAGAGAGAGAGACAGAGAGAGAGAGAGAGAGAGAGAGAGAGAGAATAGCAGAGCATCAAACGAGTTGAGGTTTTTAATTAATTAGTGCTTTTGGCCAGGTTGATTGTTTTAGCACATCTATACTTGTTTAGATTGTAAACGTGTTCTTTCACTCTTATTTCTATGAAGAATTAAAGTCGATGCAGGGATTCGAGATAACGTTTGGTTTAAACTTTGCCCACAGCCCTCACAGCCCCTGTCAAGACGAGTGCAGTCCAGTTGCCTCAGAAGCTTAAGATGTGGAGCCAGTCAGTCTGCCGAGTAAACTTGGTAAGCTGATTTTTTTTTTCTTACCAGGATATAATTCATGATTCAGACTTTAAAAACCAAAAATGAGTTATTTGTCAATGATGATTGCTCTTACTCTAGAATTATTCTCTTGTATTTTAATTAGCACTTCAGTTTTACGGTTATATTTTACCAGCTGGGACTTACGCTATGCAGTAGACCATGGTCGATTGGGGTGTGGGGTGGGGGACTTAAATGGTCGACCGGTAACTAAACCGGTACCCATTTTTTTTTTTTATAGAGGTTGAACACCTTTGATATGTGTATGTTAGTGTTTGTATGTATGTTTGCACTCAAGTGGTTTCTAAATCAGTTCATAGAGGAAGAGGGAGAAGAATTTTTCTTAATGTATACCATCGACCAAGGTCATTTATAATCTCTATTATAATGATCTGAAAATGTTTTTAATGTATCCATGACAATTAGATGTCTTTTTCTTCCTCATGTAATCAAATTTTGATATTCGTCTCTCATGATAATTAACCACAACCGTTCCAATCTTTTCCTCACTTGTAAACAGTTGACGATGACACTCTTGGGCAAACATTTACCGAGGACCTGTCAGCAAGAATTACTAAACCAACATCGGAAGAATTTGCTACACAGAGAGACCTAGCAACAATGCCATGCAGTTACAAGTCCTATACAGGTCAGCCATGCCATACACAAATCAATGAAGATGTTGGAATGTAAAGATAATTACAGAGTTTCCAGAGTTGATTGTTTGAATGACATTGTAAGATTGGTGAATGAAAATGCTGTCAGTATTGTTGCACATTTGTATGGTTAGAGAAAATGATGCCGGGATTAATGTTTCAATGTATCTTCTTTTTGTTGTCACATTTTTAATATATTATCAAATTGTGCCATCATTTTCAATTTGGTATAAGCCCTTCAATTGCATGTACAACAATTCTGTGACTGATTTTGTTGATCCGCATGTTTTGAAGAATCAGTTTGATGCTGATGAAATGCCTGAACAAATTAACTCAACCAGACAATTGGTATAGAAATAGCAGGGATTTTGTTTCGGATGACTTTCAAGATTAATTGGCTCTTTAAGCAATTATGTTTATCACCCAGACCAAAGCATTAAGACAGTGGTGAAGGAGAAGCACATGGGCCGTCCAGCTCTAAAGTAGCAAAACTTGTGGGAAAGGGTAAAGGAAAGGGGTCGGGGAAGAGTAAAGATTAAGGCAGCAACATTTTTTGCCTATTAAATTTGCATTGTATCTACCCATTGATGTTTTGTTAGATGGTGTTATGTTGTAATATAAACATTCATTTATTATTGTCAGGATCAAGTGATATCTGTGTGTGTGAGTATGAAGACCAGTATGTGTGTTGCATATATTTGCAGAGTGCTTTGGTGGTACACTTACCATGCAAAAATGTGTACCTACTTAACAATAGCCTTGAAGTTTAGCTTACGTAAGTCAATTAAGTGTATGGGTTTAACACCCCTATCAACACTATTAGGTTATTCAAGAGGAGGGAGATAGGAATTTATTGTCCGTCTGCGATAATACCTTGAAATTGTGAGTTTCACACAATGCTTTCACAATAATATGTACATGTATTGTATTCATTCAGTTCAGTAACTTACTTAGTATATTTTGTAAAGTGACCCACTCTATGGACAGTATCTTTCCAGGAACTCCCTGGAAACTTTGTTGGATAAGAATGTGGATATTTTGTTGAGGTAAATCATTATAGTGTGGATGTTACCATTGAGACTGATTGTTTGACGAGGACATCCAACTTTTTGTTCCAGAATCATTAGAAAGAGCTGGAGCCAAAAGGAAAGTAAGATGGCCACATCTCAGTGTGAAAGCGGCAGCGTCAGAACAGGCTAGCTGAAAACCTGATAGTGACGAGGTAATTTTTGAGTGCAAATCTAGCAAAAAGCAGGACTTCTCCTGCATTTCTTTGGTTCTAAAGAGTCCAAA